TCCCCTCCTCCTTCTCACTCACTCTCTCATCACCTGCTGGGAGAGAGAGAGAGACACTCCAGGAGAAAGAGCAATAGCTCAAAGGGAAAACACATCACACTAATGGTGTGAAGACTGAGCAATTGGATTCTGCCTCTACTTCCCACCCAAACACTCACAGGGAAGGAAACTCCTGCAGCTAACAGGACGGGTGGAAAGCCGTGAGCGATATCTGCCGACTACAGCCCTGCCCTGGCTGAGACGAGGCGGAACTAAGGGCGCTCGCTCATCGCACATTTTTGGGTTTCTCAACTTTTTCCTTCACTCGCCAGATCGTTTCTCTGTCAGTTTCACTGAGTCCTCACCTGTGCGGGTGCCTCTTGGTATCTCTCTTTCCTCGCAGGCCTGGAGATCGGAGATCCACGGCTCTTGTCCTCGTTCCAGCCGGGTGATCAGGTCAGGTTTGGGAATGGGAAATCCTGCACAGGGGGTGAAATCAGCCCAGATCAGAGTGCATGGAGTATTGCGGGAGTGTGTGTCACAAAGGGCATTCTGTGAATTGAAGCTGTTCCCGTGCTGTGCTGAGAGAATTTGGAATCCAAGGAGATGGGAACATAGCTGAGCCCCCTTGGGAGAGGCAGATGTCTGGGGAGGTGGGGAGAATTGTTACTAGCAGTTCCCAGGATCTGTGCACTTTGGGGGCCTTGCTGATGCACACACAGCTCTGGAGTTAAATCCCTGCAAAGCTCAGACCCTCCCCATGGCTGGAGCTATTCCCAAGGAGGGAGGTGACCAGGAATTCTGTGTGCAACCGAGAAACAACACAGACAGGATAATACACAGCGTCTATCCCCTTGAAAGCTGTGGGGTGGGTGGGGATGGTTTAGCACATCCATTAGGTTTTGGCACCCTGGTCCCACTGCAGGGGGTTTGAAGATGCAAGTTTCTCTCACACGGCAGCTGTGGATTATGGAACCCATTCCCCTCCAATCTAACTGACCAGGGAAGAACCTGACCAGAGTCAGAAATGCAGTCCCAAAACTTTCTAATAACCGAGGGCACAGGAATCCCTTACCCAGTGAGGTCACAGTCTCGTAATTCTCCCGCATGACATCCCTGTAGAGGGTTCTCTGAGCGGGGTCCAGCAGAGCCCCCTGCCCCTGGGTGAAATACACAGCCACCTCCTCAAAGGTCACCGGCATCTGAAACAACAAGAGTCCCCCAGCCGCAATCCCACTAGTCACACAGGAAAGGAAGAAGAAAAAATAAACATCTCGGAAGCTCTGGGAGGACAACAGTAGCAGAATCCCACCCCCACCCTGCTCAGAGCAA